AGCTGTTTAACAAAACTGATGAAAAAAAATTCAAGCATACGTAATGTGATTGCCTCCCTCCTTGGCTATTACATGGTAGGTTGGTGAATCTGAAATTACTTTTCATAATTACATTACAAAGAGACTTTAGTACGGAGATGTTTTTGTCTATGACCACAAGCCACAGCTTACCTGAAAACTTATGTTTCTTCATAGACTTTCTTTTTCTTTGCGAAATGTTTGCTCAATTTACCGTAAGTGGCCGCTGGAGTCCAGTGTTTCTACTGCCAATTGTAACCCAAAGCCGACCGCAGCTCCGCCAGGACGTACAAAGAAGCGTAACATCACGATGGCCTCCGAATTTGTTCATTGTTCCTGCCTGCGGCTGTGTCTGTCCCCTGTGTCTGCTCGGGTATTGCGTTTAAAAAGCTTGCATGTTTAAGACAGAGCTCTGGGAAAAAACAAAAACGTACCCTTGCAATGGGGCTACCCCAGCACAGCAAGGGTTAAGTGCTCGCTTTGTCTAGGGGGCTCAAATAAAGAAGTTTTACTCACCTAATCCTCAGCCCCACAGCGTTTATCAATCACCTTTCTCTTCCTCTGCTCAGGCATTAGAATATCCCTTGGCATCCTCACGTCCAATGCAGGTCAACGGACCTGCATTAGATGTGATCATGTCAGTGGTCCCTAGACCACCAAAGTCCAAGAGAGAAGAGGCTGCGAGAACCAGTGTAGCACCCCGGAGGGAGCCAGTGGAGCTGAGGATCCGGCAAGTCAATGTACTTTGAGACGAAACGAGCACTTAACCCTTGCAGTGCGGGGGGGGGCTACTGCAAGGGTAAGTTTTTTATTTTTTTTTACCGGAGATCTTCTTTAAACTGCAATTCTCCCTTATAATGTATTCCACCTTTTCAATGAATGCACGGCTAAATACATTGATTTCACTAGTTTTATCTAGCTAAAGATTTGTAATTCTTTCCAGCCAGTCTTGTAATTTAGCTAGCTCTGCCGGGCAGCATAGCCAAGTCTATGACCTCATTTTTCTCTACTGTAGTTAGGCAATACAGCTTGGTCACAAATTCACCCCAGCCTGCTGCCAGGAGAAGTAATAAACACTGAAATCATCACTCTGCTCCATAAACTACCAATGTTAGACTGGCAGCACTGTACAAGGTGGAGTAGTGTAGCTCCTAGTGCTGGCCTTCCTGATGTCAAGATGATTATCACAAAGTAACATCAATACAGACACAGGTAGTTATCCTAGCTGTATTTCAATGCATATTTCTTTTTACATATTCATATACACCCGGTTACCCTCAAGTATTAAATAAAATAAGTATATTTAGCAGTTTTTTCCCATCCTCCTACAGCACCTTTACAGATTATTGTACGTGGTATGTAGACGCACGGCATTAAAGAAGAGACTTTTCGTGTTTGCTTTACAGACATGTTCAAAGTGTGGGAAATTTCCAGTCAATCCCCCAATAAAGCACCCTGGCGCGTTTATTTATTGGTGTCAGTGTGGTGCTGCTTTACTTAGCTCCGTGTCAAATAACTCGCGTACAAAGGGTCCATTCATCCCGAGACTGAAAAATGTCCTCCAAATCTATTTGGTACCATAAAATCTTAACAACAGAGCCTACTGAGTGAAAAATTGCTGTCCTCATCATATTAAAGCGACCCACTGCTGATAATGCACTCTAGTCCATCTAAACAGCAGGAATAAGAGGCCTTGAAAGCACTCCATGCCATTAATTAACACATTCACTTCCTTTTCTCGCATTGACACTAAATAATAGGAAAACTCAATATGTGACATCTTCATAAACTAAGGGGTCCGTTTGTAAGAGGTCAAATGTCAGATTCAAAGACAAATCGTTTCTCTGAATAATAAAGCACGTGCACTTTACATTTCCCCTTTAACCCCTTCGTGACGGGAGACGTACAGTGTACGTCCTGTCACTTTGTGCCTATATGACTGGCCACGTACACTGTACGTGACGAGTTATATCAGGCTTTGTAATGCCGGTATTTGCTGATTCTCAGCATTTAACAGTCATTCATTAATGTCTCAGTATTGAGGCATTAATTAATGAAATAATTAAGCTTTTTGTAAAAGCTTCTTCCTTTCATTAATGAAAGAATGAAGCCGTTACATGCAAATAGAGGACCGCAATTTGCGATCCCGTATTTGACAGCTCAAAATAGCAGAGAGGCAGCAGTGACTCACCTCACCTCTCTGCTATTTGTTTTGACAGCTCGAGAGCCCGATGTTTGGATACATTTCACCAAAGAGATACAATGTATCTCTTTTGAGTGAAATGTATCACTTCTGATCGGACTCTAGGCCGATCAAAGAGCTTTTAGTGAGATCTGAATCTGACTAAAGTCAGGATCAGTCTCTAAGGTTATTATTAGCTGTTCCTAAGTTTGGATCAGCCTAATAGCCAAAAATAAAATAAAAAAGTTAATTTATCAAGCTGTCATAGTGATTGCTTGATATAAACTGACAAGAAAAAAAAAAGTTTTTTTATTTTATTTTTATTTTTTTTACAAAGTGTAAAAAAATTAAAATAAAGTGTAAAACAAAATTAGGAAAATATAAATTATATATAAATATATTTTTTATACTATAATTAATATAAAAAAATTCTAAAAAAAAAAAAAATAATCAAAACTTGTGAAAAAAGTGTTTTCTTCTAGTTTTTTTCCTCATTTTTTTTATTTTATTCAAACTAAGTGAGGGGTTAGGTACACATATGTGATATAATTATATAGCCCTATCTGTCCTCTAAAAAACAATATATAATATGTGTGGGTACATTTAGTAAGAAAGTATATTACTGCTGTGGAAGAATCACACAGCAAAAATGTAAAAAATGTGTCAGTCATTTATGAACAGAACCTGAAAACTAGCTCAGTCATGAAGGGGTTAAAGTAGTTCTGTACAGACTATTTATCAGGCCTAAAAGCTACAACTTTTTAAAATACTTTCTCCTTTTTTTGCTGTGTAGATATGAAATTTTGCATATTAACATGACACATTATCCTGCCCATTCAACATGAGAATCTTTAGACTTCTTTCCAAATGTTTTCAGAATTTTCTGACTTCCTATGTTGTAAAACATCTGTTTACAGAACTCAATAGCTAAACCTGAAGTTTATCACACCCAAGTGAATGTGCAGGAGAGCCGACTCCCCTACCTTGTTCTGCCCCACCCCATCTGAGGTTTCAATGAGACAGACCACCCGAAGATGGAAAACTACAGCTTTGCTCTTCCTTTAGATGACCCATATTGCTCCTGGAATCCTTTGATTCTGTACTAAAGCAGAACGCCAGCCAAAAATAATAAGATAAAAATGAATAGCCCATTAAAATGTAAAATAAATGCTTTAGTCCAGAGAATTCCCCCACCTTATTTTTTTCTGCCACTAGATGTCCTCAGTCTGATGGCCAGCTACTTTAATATTTTGTTTTGGCATCGTAGTTTCCCGCAATGCAGGGAATTGTGCTTTCATTTCAAAGCCTTTTTACTGTGCACTTTTCTCTCCCTTCAACATCAACCGTCTTACAACAACAGAGCAAGAGAGAGGATGACAAATGTGTTACAAGATGCAAGTAAAAATAATTAATTACATTTTATTAGTGGATATTATTAAACGGGAGGCATGTGAAACATCTGCTGCGGAAAGTGCTTGTATTACAAAAATATTTTTACTAAAGTGGAAATTGACCCAGGCCTTCACTTTAACCCTAGAGACAGATATAGCATTTGGAGCGTCTTTGCTACCCAGCAGTTGGTTAGAAGAATGAAGGCACATGGTCAACAATTCTAGAGAAAGGGGCTTTGGGACCATCGAACTTGTGTAGATAGTGCAAGGGTGGGGGGTGTATGTAGGAAACTAGCTAAAGTAAAGCTGTTATAGGTAAAGCCTAAATCCAGTAAAGTTTTGTAGTAGAGCATAGAGGTTTAGGACCTCTGTCAGGGTTTTATTGACCGTGGCAGAGATTTCCCCCTACTTTCTGTCCAGGTGAGTGATGTCATTCAGAACAGAAAATGAAGAGAAATCTTGGGACAAAAGACTGTGCTTTAAAGCTTTCCATGGTCTATCCAAATCTAAAAAAAATGGGGCTGAAGTTGGGCTTTAAAAATTAACAGCATATTTTTTCTGCTAATATTTGTCATGTGATGGCTTCCAAGCACAGGAATTTTTACAAGGTTAGCAGGAGAAGTGAACAATCTAGGACAACATAGCTGATTTGGAAAAATTCTCCAATTCAGCTCACTTTCCAGTTGTCCTAGATTGTATACTTCTCCAGCCTTCTCCAAACTCTTCACCCTTTTGTGAATAACCCCGTTAGTGTTGCATCTGGCAAATTGTTTCAATAAATTTTTGTCTAGTAAGGCTGGGTTCCCACCTGGACTTTTCCTATGTGCACGTTTTACGTGCGTTTTGTCTAGCGTATTGAGCATATTGTCTAGCGTTTTTGCACACTTGAAACTCTGCGACGTACGCACGTTTTTTGATTGACTACAGAGGCGTCCAATGAAAAAGAATTACGGTCTTTACGGAGGCGTCCAATGAAAAACACTTCCTGAGACGCAGCATAAGAAGTTGATTAGCTGAGCACACCAATTGTGTGTCCACCTTGTCACCTCTGTGGTATGTAATGATGGCTGACCTGGGTATTTATGTCACACTCTTTTTTTCCAAGTTAGTTCCACGCATTTTGAGGTTTGTGTTTAGGGCATAATTGTGCTCGTAGCCAGCATTCTGTTACTACTATTTAAATAAGGTTTTTGAATTGATAGATTTGTTAATGGCTAAAGGCAACTTTAAATAAGACAGTAGGACCATAAGAGACCAAGTTTGTCCTACAGATAACTAAAGAGTTGTCCCTGCCACAATTAAGGGTTGGAGTTCTCTAAGATGTTATGCTGTTATATATCTTGTTCACTTCTTGCTATAATACGGTACAACAATAGTGGTATATTGATTGTTTTTATCATTATTTCCAGAAGTCCAGAGAAGAGAGCAAAAAAGTCATTTATAAGTCCTATCTATATTCCGTGGACCATGCAATTGCTGGGTGGTGCCATTTTGTTATTTCTTGTGCTCATGGGAAGCACGAATGGCAGCAGTGCACAAGAATTCCAGAACAGTGAAGGGACAGAACAAGAGTTTATTTATGTGAACAGGGAGCGGCGAGCGGCAGAATCCGACAAATGCAGCTACACGTTCATTGTGCCTCAACAAAAAGTCACAGGAGCCATCTGTGTGAACTCCAAAGAGCAGGAGACTGTTTACGAGAGTCGGATCCACAAGCAGGAGATCGAACTTCTCAATACGGAACTTCTGAAACAGAAACGGCAAATCGAAACACTGCAGCAGCTTGTGGAAGTTGACGGTGGTATTGTTAATGAAGTCAAGCTCTTGCGGAAAGAGAGCCGGAATATGAACTCCAGGGTCACCCAGCTGTACATGCAACTATTGCACGAAATTATTAGGAAACGGGACAATGCACTGGAGCTCTCACAACTGGAGAACAAAGTTCTGAACCAAACTGCAGACATGTTACAGCTGACGAATAAGTACAAGGACCTGGAACACAAATATCAGCACTTGGCTTCGCTGGCGAGCAACCAGTCCATTGTGATTGCACAGCTGGAGGAACAGTGCCAGAAGGTACCTCAGTCAAAGCCGATACCACAACCTCCACAACAACCCAAAAGGGTGTATCAAACGCCCAATTACAACCGCATCAATCAAATATCTACCAATGAGATTCAAGGAGACCAAAACTTGAAGGTTCTCCCACCTCCTCTGCCAACCATGCCCTCGGTCACCAGCATCCCAACATCTACAGACAAGCCATCTGGTGAGTAAACCCTACTGGAAGTATAACAAAACTAACCTATTCCAAATGTATTTTGAATATACATCATAATGTGTTTACAGTCTTTTAAATGTAAGTTCAACTTTACAACATAGTTGTTAAACAATGTGCTAAATGTAACACATTTCATTCATATAGACTTCATATATACCTCATTATTTATTACTGTAGTGCAGCCATGAAACATATACAGTAAAAAAAAACAGTTTTTCTTTTACTTTTACAAGGTTTTATTGAAAAGGATACAAGAACCTACAACAGATTTGGTGGTCTTTATCACAAACATGTTCATAGCACAATAGAATACTCTGGTTTAATTACAGGGGGCGGGTGTTGTAAGGATTATTAAAAAGGGACACCAGAGGAACCATCTTTAACATTTTATTTGCTGTTCAAGTCAGGTGATACGCAAGGAATGTAAAATTCACAGCTATACAATCTTTAGCATGGGAGGCTATTAGTACCGTAAGGTAGAGTAAGAACATTAAATAAGAGCGTTATATAAAAAGGATTTAAATTAAAAAAAGAGGTAAAGGTACAAAAAAACATAAAGAGAAATGTAAGAAGCAGTAGGAAAAGAAGGAGGGGCCGCTACAGAGAGCCTACTCTACTATTTGCTGGCAACATGGTTATTTTAATCCTTGCTGCAGCACTTACTGTAAAATATGCAACTAGGCTACATTAGAGTTGGGGGGGGGGTGGGGGGATTAATTGGGGCTCATGCACACTGTTGTCTGTTCCAGCTCCTCAAGTTTCATTCTACCCATATAAAAGCAGATATAGTGTGAAACTTTGACAATAGCCACAGCATGTGTGTAGACACAGAAACTCTGCACAGAAATCTCTCCACTAGAATTCCCAAGGAATGGAACAAACTATCAGGTGGTTTAATGCTCCACCATTCACAAAGCAGTGATATTGAGTTCCATGTGGACTGATCTATTAATATCCAAAATATATATTTATCATTCTATTGTGTATAAGTACCACAGAGGTTCTTAAAAAAAAGTTGCAGTTATATAGCACAGAAGGTGTAGGTGGAACATACAGGGGAATTCAATATAAAAAAAGCCAGCACAAACAGCCCACATTAACAACTGCAAGAAAAAAAAAAAGCCCTTTTGGGTGGACAAAGCATACACCATAAGCGTATCTATAGTAACAGCTTGGGCAGTTTCTGCAAAAAGTGATGAGATTGACTAATTTAGACAGGTATTGAAGTAACAAATTATTCAGCGGCAAACCCAGAAGCTTGGAAAGTGGCTAAACATTTGTAAGATTGATGGCAGAGTGAAATTCTGCAAACCAGTATATGTAAAGGATAAGTCTAGCAGGATTCCTGTGCATATTTCTGATTTTCCATTATCACTGCAAGAAAGGCAGGGGAAAGCTTATGTCTGAGATTCCCAACATGACAGACGTGGCTTGCAAAGAGCAGGATGGAAATTGCAATTAATTGGGAAACATAATTAATGTCTGAGGGGGCTGCCAGCTTCCAAACACCATCCAAATGTGTTGGCAGAAATACTGGCTCTTGGAGAAGAGATTAAAGAGAAGCTGCAATTAGTATGGAATATTACAGACACTAGGAATGAGACCATTGCATGGAAAGTAAGTAAAGCTTCCCAAAGCCTTTCATTTCTTCAATGCTTTCCAATAAACACTCAACATAACCAGCTCAGGATGCACACAATTTTCTGGGCATATCTGGGAAAAATGGAAATAGCCTTTCTTCCTAAATACTGGAAGGTGAAGAATAGTAAAATAAGTAGATTCCTCCAGCAGCAAAACACACTTTAGGAGAGTATTTTAGTATTTCAGGAAAGGAGTGTAAGATAGCAAAAGTAGGAGAGTCCTCAAGCAGTGCAGAGTAATTCAGAAGGGGGCAGTTAAATAGAAGATTGAACAGATTCCTCCAGCAGTGAAGAGTATTTCAGAAGAGAAGAGTATGATAGCAAATAAAAGGGGGGAGTGCTGCAGAAGAGCAGAGTATTTATTTTGAGGGAGGAGAGGTAGGAGAAGAAGCAGAGTACTCCAGCATCGCAGAGAATTTCAGGAAAGTAGAGTTAGATAGTGGAAGGAGCAAACTCCATCACTGGAGGGACGTATTTTAGGAGAGGATTGTTTGATAATGGAAGACGTCTTCCATAAGTGCAGAGAATTTGGGGAGAGGAGAGATAGAGTGAATAGAGCCAAATGCTGCTTCAGGAGAGGGGAGTTAGACTGTCCCTTTAAGGTCAGACAGACAGAAGTGAGGTAAGGTATTTTCAGCCCAGACAAGGAATGGAACCATTTGCGTAATCTCCTGGGAACCTCAGTGTTATTATACTGACCTGGCTGTACAATGTTCTGTCTTTGCTTCATTGTTTTTCCATCCTGGTAGCGCTGTTTATTTGTTGTGCTATGTCTATAGAAACACAAGACCTGGTCGCTGGCACACCCGGCTCACTGACCTCTTGCCGGGGACCACACACAAATATGTGTTTTCACAAATCTGACAGCCAAATATATAAAAGTGTGGTCGGAGCCAAGAGTGGATCAAAACCCAGTAAAAAGAAGATGAAATGGAGATCAGAATAAAGATATTCTTCCATGTTGTAACTGAAGGAGAAGGGCCAAGGCTTTACTCTATCAACACCTACCAAACAAGCCGCGTGATGTCAAACGTCATCTAAAGGCTAATAAACCAGCACTAGAATTAGCAGAACAGACACTTCTAGGCTAAACAGCAGCATGTCAAACGTTGCATCTAAAATGGGCTTGTCCATTTTGTCTGTAGGCTTACATATGCAGGAGCAGTTTAAAACTTGCAAAGGATTTGTATTTCTGTAAATATATTTGAGCAACTTACACAGCCAACCTGGAGAACTGACTTTTTGCTACTGCAATTAAATAACACAACTACAGATTGACCCTTCCCGCAGCACATATTGGACAGTATAGCAAAAGCAGCAGACTGATGAGCTCATCTCACTGTGTAACTCTGCTATCCCCTCCTATCAACATGTCCCTGCTTAGCACATGAGAACTGCAGCACAACTAAAATTACTCTATGCTGATTGTCTTAAGATGCTGATGTGACATCAAACTCAGGCACTTACACTACATGCTTTAAAAATACACTTAGCATTGTGTTTAATTAATGCATACCTGCATTCATGAATTTGCTTCTGCCTGCAATTCAACTTTAAGATTTTGAAGTTATCTGCCACTATAGTAGTAGCTTCTCTTCTGTATTTACATTTTTCCCGTCATGTTGGAGGGTAGACTGCTCAATCAGAACATTTCTATTCTAAGTTTGTAGCAGCAAAAAGCAAACGTGCCATTTCTAACACACAAGAGTTACATGTGTAGCATAGCATTTGCCTAAGTGACCATCCTACATCATGAAGGTGGGTGTGAAGTTGCAGATAATGATAAAACCCAGGTACTTGGTGTGTAATTCATTTTATATCTCCATACAGGTTCACCTGCTCCACAACATATGGTTTACCAAGTTATTTTGGTCCCTTAAGATCGTTGTGCTGTTTTATTATAACTTTAATGACGTTTGACATGCCGTGGCCTATTTGGTAGGTGTTGATAGATAACGATTTGGCTCCTTCGCCTGTGGTTACAACATGGCATAAGCATTAATTCCTCTTTAAAGCCAAATGATGTCTATTTATCTCTGAAAAAGAAAATTAAATGCTCCCATCACCATACACAAATGCAGATATATTATACTTGTTTTTAAAATTACTTTAAGCTCTTATCCCTTTAATTTGATTTTAGAGTTATGATTTTTTTTGGTTTTCGCTTAGTGGTTGGGGTCTAAAGGGAAGTTATCACAAAAGCAATACAAAAACAGCCGTCACTGAATGTCTTAGCACAAGCTCTATGGGAGCTATCTGTGTGCCTAGTGAACAAATTATGCGACCTATTTACCTGGCTAAATGCTTGCTGTAGGCCTGTGATGCACTAAGGTTGCCTACAAGCCCATTCATACCAGTGCACTGTGATAACGTGCATGTTACCATTAAGTGCATTAGGTATGCTGGTGCACTGAGGTGCCATTCATTTTAAAAAAAAGGCACCCAAATGCACTATTACAGTACATCCTTTGTGTTCCAGCGCACTGAGGCACTACCTTGCATTGCAGTGCATTGCTGAAAATGCTGCATGCACAATTTACTTACCTGTCCTGACAGTTTGCTTATATCAGGCCAGTGACTGTGATTATTCTAGTGGACTAGGCAATGCCCCAATGCGTACAAATCTACCAGCTTAGCATAAATCTCTAGAAACTCAGGATAGAAGCATTATGTCATCCTTTTGGACACCGTCGACAAAATCAGCCACGGTGGGGTGAGCAAAACAAGGCAGATTATATAACTGAATCTGCCAAAGCGGCAGCTCCGAGGCTGGAGGCCAAGATTGTGCAATGGATTTCCTGCACTAATTAGTGAACAGATGGGTTGACCAGTGAGGACAGGACACAGGAGCCAAATTTAAATTAAGCAGACAACGAACAAGGCCGATCTGCTATATTAAACCTGAACCCAAACCAGTGCAGACAAGTGCAAATATCCCAATGCTTGGGAAGTTAAAGAATCAATAAATCCATATCATAAAGATAAGCATCCCCAGTTCTTCTGAACATCACATTAACAGCACAGCTTACAAAATAACAAGGGATTTTTTACTGTTTCATTGTAAGATTTTATTTGTATCTTGATTCAATACATTTCCATACACTGGTCTTATTTTTTTTTATTTTTTTAGCGGTTTAGGGTGTCATATTGTGTTTATTATTTAAGCTGCAGTATTTCTGAACAGGCACTTGGCAAAGGTTATATGGCTAGCGTAGCAGAACACATTTAAAGAGGAAGAATGTACAAAAAAAACACCAACTAAATATACACAGATGATTAAATCATGGAAATGTTTTCATCATTGCTATTACAGTTCACAAATATACGTGTTACAGTACCCCATACCTGCACAGAAATTAAGGACATTGACAGTTCTGCAACCTTGCTATGTGAATGACTGTTTTAGGTTAGCAACATTTGGAATTATTTTAGGTGTGGGTATAAATATTTCCCCCCTAACACATTACTTTAAAAAAAAAAACTTTTGATAATCTAAAAATGTTGGTATAAGCTTTACACAAACCAACTTACAGTTAAACTTCACCAGTCCTTTGCCATACTGCAAACTACCACCCTGGGCTGGTCTGTATACATCTGATATGGCCAAACATCTTGAATATATTATTTTAAAAAGTGCATATAATTAAGGAAGAAAGGAGCTTTGTGTAAAAGATGTCCCAAAAGCTGGGGGGAATCAGTCATTGCTTGAGGGGGAATTAATTGGTTGGAGGGGGAGTCATTGAAGAAAGGCTAGACACAAAGCCTAAAGTGTGCTCAGTCTAAGCTGGAGATCATTGCTAGGAAGTTGACTCGAGGTATTGCTTCACTGGTAGGGCTCCACAAGATAACGGGCTTTTGAAGCAAAGTAATGAATCATCAGACACAAAGTAAAGGAGGTCCTCAGGCAGTAATAGTAAGACAACCAAAAAGTTGAGGCATTTAGGTAGATGATAAAAGTACAATGTCAAAGCCAATATTGGACGGGCAACAAGATTATTATTCAGGCGGGGGGGGGGGGGGGGAGACAACTTTTTAGAGA